AACCTGAGTGGAAGTCATCTTCAGAGTCAAGTGAATAGTGTTTGTCAGTCGATGATCTTATAAGTCTGGTCCGTTGAACGTGATTGCTCAGTATAGCCACGATGGTATTGGCTGAAAGACTCGTGTAAACAGGAACCCTACGCCTGTTACTACAGTGACTATACCTTACATTAAGGGCACTTCTGAGACCATCTCGCGGATCCTCCTCGCGTTTTCGTGTGGACGGAAAACATGAAAAAGGAGCTTTTCGAAAACGATGAGATCACAAAAATCATGTGACTTCTCTGTCCGAGTTTTGGTCAAACACAAATACAAAATGACCGGTGATTGTTGCGTTTTCAACTTTCCCCGGCGTAGTGTGGACGGAAAAGATTTAATGCGTTTTCAGCCGAAATGAAAACCCCGTTTTCAAATTTGGACGAGGCCTAAATAAATTTACCTGTACTTAGTTAATTGTCATTCACATCAAGGACTGCAAAACTGTCTTGAAGACTTGGTGGTATCCAAGAGGAACGAAGAAGTAAAATGACCCGCTAGGATTAATCACGCTATTATTTCTTTTTCAACCAGGTACCAATCAATACATGCCTCCTGAATTCATAAAATCGAGGAAATACGACGGCTGCCAGGGCACCGTGTGGCAAATGGGAATCCTCCTGGTAGATATGTTGTCCCCCGTCGTGACTGCGTTTGAGAAACCTAGCCACGCACTTTGCATGGCTCCTAGAGTGCCACAGCAGTTTTCTCCAGGTATTTAACAATTATCTTCCTATTGGTCCTTCTGAAGTCATCACATCCTCATTGCCTGAGTCCGAGCTTCTAAGAATCACGACCTATAGACAGGTGTAATATCGGAAGTCCATGATTCACGAACTTCCGGTGAAATCTGAGAAATTTAACTTCCGGTCAAAATCTGCCAAATGTTACTTCCGGTTAGATTTGATAAATCTGATTGGCTGAGAATAACAAAAGATTCTCTGTGTATGCGCAGAACTTCGGGTCCAGGCAGAGGTCACGGTTCTTGGCGCTGATCAAAAGGAACGCTGTCTTAGCTTTTCGGGACGAGCTGAGAAAGAAATCATCACAGTACTCACGCCATTATGATATTCTGACTTCAAACATGCGCATGCGCAAACGGTCATTGTCTTCACTAGTCTGTTTCAGAGCCAGAGGCTCGTGTTACTTAGCACCAAGAAATCGAGACTGAGAGAAATCGGAAGGCGAGCTAACATCACAGCGGTTAATTGCTCTACGCATGTTCCTGAGATGATTTCAGTACAGTTCCATTCTCACCCCCAGTGCTGCTCGTTTTAAAATGTCGTTCGCTGACAACGCGACGAGGCTCTGGGAACGAGAATGGAACAGGTCCCCTAAAGAAGGGTTAAAAAACAGGGACTCTCAAGGTTTCATTTCCTTTCACTTTCAGTTTAAATATTTCATTTTTTTTTCCTTCTACACAGAGGTGAAGAATCTCGTCGCCACACTGTTAAACACAACACCCAACAACCGGCCAACTCTGAAACAAGTTCTACAGCATCCTTGGTTCACCATGACAGACTAAGCTGCTTCTAAAACCTGTGCCTTCTTCATCAACAAGACCCGCTCTAGGGCGTCCACCAAACTTACATCTGTCCGGTTTCAGAACTTATTCACGAGTGAACGTTCATAATTACAGACTCCAAATCCATATACATGCCTATATGCATGACTGTTTGTTGCTTGCTGACAAAGTAGCAAGCAAAAAGACTGTTAATGATTTACTTGATTTAAAGTATAATGTAGTGGAGTATGTCTCTAAAGAATGTCAAGAATGGCTGTTTGATGATCATAAAATTGAAATCCTCTAAAATCGATTACGAGAACATTCAGTTGTATTGTGATACAGAGTCAGCCTCTAAAAGAGTTCTGAATGGTTTGATGTAGAATTGGAGATATCCGTTAAAAGGATCAATCCAATAGTTACACGTAAAGTGAAATGGAAAGCGTCCTAAAAGAAAAGGATTCTGAAAATAGTTGCATAGTGAAAAGGAGTCTGCCTATAAATATCTTTAATTTAAGATATGATTGAAGGAACAGCGCAGTAATTTTCATGACAAATAATATGATATTTTCGGACAACCGAGCTAAATTATGAACCTGAAAACGCTGTATAAATCAATTTAAAAAGAAGTATTTATTTAAAATAGAGCAGTGTCTCAAAGTAATATGGACGAAAATATATTAAGTATTAATTATATGTAAATAAAACAACGTTTAGTCACACTTTAGAGTGCTTTTCAAACGACTGTCGTAAAAAAGTGAAGTTTCAATGACCCATCACAACTAAAGTAGCAAGTTTGGCTTTGGTTACTCGGTCGCGAGTACAGCGCAATCAAAAGCGCACTGTTCTACTTTTTACGTGTCCATGCATGGAGTTACGGGTACCCTGATATACGTATGTGTGGCACCAAAGGGTAAATGGATTTTAAGCTATTTTGATCTGAAAAAGCGTATAGATTTTCACCATTTTGGTCTGAAATAGGGTATGTTTTTCCCTCTGGCTTGAAATTGGGTATTTTATTTTGCAAGGAACTATTTTTTCCACATCAACATCGGCAAATTTGTAGCCCTTCTCACATGTTGACGCAAATGGAACCCAATTCTGGGTAGCTGCGGTCATATATTAGAGCAGTGTACTAATTTTAGAGGTCTGAAATGGGGTATCGATTTTTCGCTCAGGTCTGAAATAGGATACGGAAAATTACACATTGGGTCTAAATAATGATACCGGAGTCCAGATTCGGGCCACACACCCTTACCAAAATTGTGGGGAGAACCCCCTTCTACTCCCCTTCCCCCAAGACGGTTAACAAGCGTGAATATTTGCATGGGAGCTGAAACGACAAAAGATGTGAAAAAAATATCCGAAAGCAATTTGTCGGTTATTCCAAAGCTTCGCTTCTATGTCCCTAGTGCTATGTAAGCGCTAGCTAGCTCACAGATAGATCAACTCGAAGCTAGTGTGGTAAAATTTCAACTAACTGCGGCGGGTAAATTGTCTTAATTGAGACGGATCAATGTCCTGTTGAACTGCGCACACTCTTCCCCTTGAACTTGCTGTAAAAAGAACCACATCCTTTTCATACGGTTACAATTTTTTAATATTACTCTACTTCTGCCAGGATATCTGTTCATCTAAGTAAACTAGGGGTGATTATAACTGGTTGTCCATTTACAATTACGAATCGGCTACAAAATCATTTAACATATATGAGGTATTAACCTATATTTTAGTTTCATAACTGTGGAAATGTTTGGTTTGACAAACCGATCTAGAATAATGCATCAAACGGATGAGTGAATATTCAAGAGGTTCACGGCTTAGAAATCATGCAAAATCACTGTACTGCATCACGATGGTCTGTGGATGGTGCAGTTGAATTATAAATTCGATTTAAGCGTTCCATTATTTCTCCGATGATAATGATTTGAGGATGTCCTACAAACATGTCCACGTTATGCTTGACAATCTTTCAACAGCAATATCGATACAAAACTAAATCAACTATATTGTCAAAATCGATAACTGAATACTGCATTAATTGTATAAAATCACCCAAACTGAAGTTTATCGGCGACATACCGCAACTGAGATTGACGTTTACATATTTTAAGTTTTTAAATCGGTCTACGATGCTTTTAGCACAGTTCTTAATCATTTTGTGTCCTCGATGCTGCTTTGTGTTCAAGAAGGCTTGGAAATTCAGAAGTGATTCTGGACTTGGTAAACGCCAGGATGTGCGGCTGGGTTTACTGTGACTGTCTTGTGATATCTTTGTGAGATCAAACGAGTACAAGTCTTCTTTGCCTCCTGTCCGGTTGATGGATGCCATAGTATCATACTCTAATGAACGGGATGGCACAGTACCATACTCCAGTGAACAGACTGGCCACCTCTTAAGTTGATGCATGCGCTTAAAGGATTTCCAAGCAATGATTGTCCAGAAGATTACAGCTTCGGTGAGTTCACTGATCAAGCTTAAATGTCTTAAATTCAACTTAGTTGTTATAATAGGGAGTTTAAGAAAACCATATGACGGCAACGGCAACGGGAACATCGCTAAACAAAAGGTTTAATAAGCAATACAGTGACTTTGCACGTGCGTTATAATTCTTTGTACATTTCTTTGCCATCCTCTGTAAAACATCAAAGTGAAATGACCAAATTCTGCGTTGTGTGGATAATGTCAACCACGACGGATAATTTTTAAAATTTATATTTAATTTCGAATTTTACGCTGTGTTCCATATTCATTTTCGAGTTTTGACGAAGAGAAACAAAGTAAATGACTTGAGAGTATCGCGAGATTGGAAGGTTAGATATAAATTCATTTTTTAATCGACGTTGTCCTCGGCATCACTGTCGTCGTTACTTAAACTCCCTTATGCTTGAGTTAAACTCTTTAAACTAGTATGTAAACAATTATTAAAGAAAAACGAAACAAGCACAAACAGTTCTGGCCGTATTTAGTTCGAGTACATCTAGCATAACTGTAGTAAAACGATCCTATTCTACTGTGTATAATATTTCTTAGTAATCTAGACTAGTAGGAAGCAGTACCTTCAAGATTTACTTGGGTAAATATGTCGCACACTGTGTGTGCCTTATAAAACTTCACAATTTCATTTTCAATACACACTTGCGGCAATGAACATTAAATTTATCATACTGTGTAATCTAGCCTGTGATTGTTTAAGTAAAAAATATGGCACATTGACAGTGCATTACTGTGAAAATAATAGCGGTATTTAAAACAGCTCACACTGTCGTTATTGTTTTTTTAGCCTTTAGTTCGTTTCCACAGGCTCAAGGCAATCACTATGAAAGTATTACTTTTTGGGATAAAAAATCATTAACAAAATGTCTCCTTATTATATTTTCACAAACATTTGTAAAAATTCCTACGAAAGGCGTTAACCATGGAAGTATTAATTTTTGGAATAAAAAATCATTGATAAAGTGTGTCGTTATTATTTTTACATAAAATTTTAAAAACATTTCATTCTGTTTTTTTTGGCAAACTTGAATAGATCATCATTTCCAATATGATATTTCGTAAATCTCGAATGAACACGATTTTCAATATAAAAATCTTCGCCTTAATGTTTTGTTATTATCCGGCTCAGTGTCACTAGCATCTTGCTTCTTTTTGCTGGTTTCCATCCTAAAACAACACAGGAAAGGCAAAACAAGTCTATATGGAAAATAAAACAGAGAATACAGCACGCTTTTTCAAACAACGATTCAGTCTACTAAGTCACTAAATCAATACCATTCTGTACAATGATTATCCATTAGTTTCAAATTGTCTGCAGTTTTAATACATTGCAGAACTTGTTTGCTCTCCTTGTGCTTAATTCACAGAACGACACTAAGCCAACATAAAATTTACTATATTGTTCATAATCCCTAATACTAAGAATAAATACATCTTGACAACCAGATGTTGTTTTTTCAATTTCCATCCACCTTTTCAACGTATGCTATAAAGAAACAACAAACAAATGAAGAGCTTCAACGTTTTCTTCTTTCAAGAATTCGAAATCAGTGCCAAATAATTTTCCAATAATTTTGTCAAATTGATTCCTGTAAATTTTCGACCAAAAGAAAAAAGCAAGAAGGGTAAAGTTTTCTCCTAATTTTTAGTCTTGAGAATAAATCTCAGGAAATCGATGCTTCTCGCAGAAACAATATAGAAGAGAATGATTATTATTCTGTGTTCCCAATTTCCTCTGAACTCATTTTAGGGTGTTAAGGGAAGAGAGAGCTTTCCGGCACCCTTGCACGCAAAATGTCAAATATTATTCAAATTACTATATTAGATAAAGTTCTCTAGGTATGCCATGGAGCAACAAAATTGTCGATCGAAACAAGACATACAAACAAGCGCACATGTCTCCATTGTGGCGATGCGCTTTTCAATGCGTATACGATCGGTGTTTTGCAAAGAAAAGACTCCCAAACAAATGGCAATTTTTGACAATGTGAAATCATCCCATTGGTTATCTTTTTGAGTTTCCAAGTTCCTGGACCTCTTTTAAGTTGTTCAAAAAGGGTTATAAAAGAGAATGTTGTCTTTTTCGGTCACGAAACACGAAATATCGAGACACAATCAGCTGCGACAAAAATCAAAATTATTGCTTCCCGGCGCTTCACGAAAAGAAGGGTGATCACAAACGACGAAGTTTTCTGCGAGAAACAATCCCTATTCAAGCATGGCTCTTCCCCAAATCATAGCGGTGTTTCACGCGCTTTTCAACGTGATCGGCCTTCCTGGAAATTTGCTGGTGATATTGACAATCGTTTTGGAAAGAAGATTTCACGTGATGCGTTATATTCTGCTCGCCAGTCTCGCAGTGTCAGATTTTCTCTGTTTAATTCTCGTAAACTCATTTCGCATCGCAAGCATAGCAAAGGAAAGATGGTTATACGGTCAAACAATGTGTCTTCTCAATGCATTCTTTGCAAGATACTTCTTCCTCAACTCAGTTCTTCATCTGATAGCCGTGTCTTATGAGCGATACAGTGCCGTTGTGAAATCACCTTTGACGTACGATGGTACGATTACAAAGTCCAGAGTTGTGCTCATGGCTCTCATCTGGATAGTACCGATTCCAATTTGCATCAGTCCATTCCTCGGCTGGGGAAAGTACGTTTACAACCCAGATATGTTCTTCTGCGAGCAAGGATGGTCGGAACAGAGCGGTGCCATCGCTGCAACCTTAAAGTCGATGTTTTTCTTTGTTGTGCCCTTTCTGGTGATCGCGTTTCTAAATTGGAGGGTTTTCAAAGCAGTGAAAACTCTTCAGAGAAACGACGTGGCGCCGGTCCAAGTGGAAAACACCGCAGCACCCGAAAATCATTCCGGACAAGAGATATCAAGAGGAATAAGAGAACGGAAGGCGGCTGTGGATGTAAGCATCGTTATTGCAGCGTTCTTGTTTTGCTGTATCTCTGGCTGGATCGCAGGACTTTGCCGTCAGTTCATCACAAGTTTCAAAGTGTCAGCCGAAGTAATCCTGGTCACCGCTTGTATCTTCATGTCCAGTTTTCTGTGCAACCCGATCATCTATTCCATTCGTAAAAGGGGATTTCGAATGGGTGTTAAGAATGTCTTCAGGCGAATTGGAATTTGTGGAAGTTCCAACGAAATCGACGTTGCATGTCACAAGCAGAGCTAATCCACAAGTACCAGACCTCCCGGTTGGGTCGGCAATATATTTTCCTTGAGGTTAACGCCGAGAGAAGCTCGAGATCGCGACAACGTGTCTCAAGAACACGACGAAGGATTTTAGAACTACAGAGGACGAGTCAAAGTGACTTTCTGTGCATCAGCTCTCAAAAGAACTGAACACTGAATAATGACTGAACTGTGTGTAACGTTTTTACTCTATGTACAACAATCGAAATATTGCTACTAAGCCCATAGGGGATGGTTAAAGTACTTTTTGAATTGTTTTATTTTTTCCGCGAGCCGGAATTTCAGTCCAGTTCTTTAAAACCCACACCGTTTCCATGCCAGATCATTTTTCATTGCCCGTTTCCAGATTTAGTCTCAGATCTAGTTTTCAAAGCTACTTTAGGTTTAGTCACTAAAACTCAGTCACACTCATCTTTAGATCTGCTCCGGTTTGCGTATCTGCATGAACTGAAAAGTCACACTTAATCATCGTTTCTAGTTATATTATTTATGAGTATAGAATGGTATACCGAAAATGATGCATGTTAAACATAACTTATTAGATATTTTGGTGTGTAGTATCGTTGTATACTTTTACGAGTTGTGCCGTATTTTTACGAGCCCGTAGGGCGAGTCAAAATACAAACAACGAGTAAAAATATAAAGCGATACTACAAACTAAAACATCAAATAAGAGATATAATCAATAAATTTGTCAATGAAAAGAGGGAAAAAACTGTGTGACAGTTTTGTGTGTGCGCGCCGACCTGTCCGGCAAACAGGTTTTCTGCTGTACAAGTAACTGTACAGTATTGCTGTATATTTGTACTGTTATTTGGACGGTATTCGCTGCAGTTGGATAATAATTTTAAACAATTATTCGCCCAAGGCGAAGTGAACATTGGTGAATATTCGCCAATGTTCACTAAGCCTGAGGCGAATAATTGTTTTAGTACAATTTTCAGAGGTGAATATCAAGGACTACAAAATAACAGACTAAAACATAAAACACAGACGCAATACACGTATGCCGCCCTAGTTTTAATAGTAAGCTTACATGTACATCGATTGTGAATCAGTTTACTCATCGAGTTCGGCAGTAAAACAAACGAGCGAAACACTACGAAAAATAAATTCATCCGGTACCTCTGTTTTATCGTTGTTGACTTCATTCACAGCTGCCATCATCGTCTAAAAATGAGTATCTTTAGTTTGAAGGAAAAAAAATGAATTATAGGTCAATCGATCGATCGATCGATCAACGTAACCACTGCGACCACTGCGTTTTTGATTCTTAAATGCCTCGAATACGAGTTCTTGAAAAGATTTTTGGTCCAAAGGCGACAGCAGTCACTTTGAAAATTCTCCATCCTTTCTAATATCCTGGACTTGGAGTGATGTCTTTCGAATAAATGAAAACTACATTCAGCAAGTGTCCGCCATGTTTACTTGCCAAGATGGTGAAGATGGCAAGCTTAGTAACTAAGCTCTAGCGGGGTGAATATAGCGTCATATGATGAGCTTTTCGACCAATCAGAATGTCCAATCCTTATATTCACCTCTGGAAATTATACTAATAGTAATTATAATCCATCAAATATTTCCCCTCGCGCGCGATTGGTCTAAACACGTCACGTGACCGAATATTCCTCAGCTAGATTTGAAGAATAATAAACACACTAGCCTCCATTTTGGGCGAAAATATGCTCGGATATTTTTCCTTGGACATTATCTGTTCCTCGAAGCTCACAGTTTTTCTCGAGCTACGCTCTCGGAAAACTGTTCACTTCTCGGAACAAATAATGTCCGCGGACAAATATCCGAGCATATTTTCCCGCCAAGTGGAGGCTATTGTCTATATATCAGTCAAGTCTCCAATCTCAGGCAATGATAACAGTCTCAGAATCTCGGGCTAGCTAGTGGGCAGGTAGAAAAGTTTGCATTCGAACCAAGTGGCCCATCAGGCCGGCGCATATCGCTGTTTCTCTAGCATGAAGCGACTACGAGTATTTCTACTCCCCCATGGATGGGATGTTAGTGTGTTGCAGGGTTACCCACAGCATTAAATTCACCGGTACCCATTTATACACCTGGGTGGGTAGAGGCACTGTGAATACCCACGCCTTCAATTGATCCTAGTCTTCCAGTTACATTGAACTGCCCCCCCCCCCCTGGTGGGATATTCCGTGTAACGGCCTGGACGGGGAAGCTCCGCCCGTAGGGGTTACCTTTTTCAGACTTCAAGCATATGAAAGGGTAGGGAAATCTATATTTAGATGTAATGTAAACTGGAATTGAATAACACGATACTTATTTTTTAGTTAACTTCTCTTCTGGCAATGCTTGATGTTCTCCCGTAGTGTTGTTCATTGACTTCATTCCAAGGGTTTAGAAAAGGGGTGCAGTGTTCTTAAGAAGACAAACAATAGACTGCAAGGCTGATACTGCGTGAAAAACGTTTCGAGACACCAACATGACAAGAACCGATAAAGTAGGATCGCAACAGTGGACAGCTGTTTCGTCCTTCTTGGGGCTCGTCAGCACTTTGTAGCGAAGATACGTAACGCCAGCCCAACAGCTGACGCACATAAATTGCAAAATGACCCATTCACTATATCAAGTTCCGTACTTTGAACTCACCTGCGCCCCGAAACACGCGTTGCCACATCACGTGTTTCGGGGCGCAAGGAGACAAAGTGTCAAGATTGGTGTGTCTTGAAAAGCAAAAGAATAAATGTGACTGGAAAAGGCCAGCCTAAACATTTAAACACTCAACCGCATGGCCAGAACCATGCTTTAAAAACGCAGCGTATCGGATCTGAAAAGACCTGCGGTCCGAAAATACATAAATGAGAAGCCAGAAACATACGCATACGATAAACGCTGGCAGCGTATGCGGTCGCTTGCAGTTTCTGGTTTCTTAAGAAGGTACGTGAAAGGAGTGCCTTTTTTCTAGAAAAAAGTCTACGAAAAGGGTTCCTTTTCTTTCAAAGTGGTATACAAAAGGGTAAGGGGTTTCACCTTGGTGCGGAGTCTCCCCGTACAAAACACTGTAGAGTACTCTCGAGGGTGGGGGTTGTTCGTATGCTCCTTGTTTTATAATGTACCACAGAGAGAACTGACTGACTTTGGGATCTCCTATGCGTACACATGCGTATAAAGGCTGTTTTTCACCTCTAGTGTGCAAACACTTGTCCTATCCACTTCTCGTAAAAGGTATATAGACAAAAAAGTGGTTAGCTATTAAAATTGGAATGTCAGATAACAACCCACGAGCCTTGGCACTCGTTGAATTTTCATAATCGCTTTATAAATTAGTTGATTTAATTTTCATCAATAAGTCTTTGAGTTGAAAACACGCATTCCAAGGCACGTACTTAACAGAAATAAATAATAATAATAATAATAATAATAATCTAAAAACTGGCTATCCCCCAGTGTTCCAAGACCATGGTCTGGTCTCGGCCCTAAGGACTCTAAGCAAACATTACGTGAGGACGATAATAATAATAATAATAATAATAATAATAATAATAATAATAAAACATGCAGCTGTGCACTGTACTGAAAACTCTTATATAAATCTGAAAACCTCAGACGTTGCCCAAAAGGTATTCCATTAATTAAGGCTATGTCCAGATTCCAAATGCCGTGTCTAACCGAAAGGATTATATGCCGAGTTAAGTGCCTTTTCAACGCTACCTTAATAAGCACAAAAGATTCCCCCCTTATGGAATAAAGGGATTACTAACCGATTAGTCGTGAACTAATCCAGTATTTCATCAGCAGTACAGTGAAACGTGCTCGGTTTGGAATGAAACATTTTATCCCAAAATAAATTCTTGTCTTAAAGCTTTTAAACCTGGTTTCCTACTTGCAAAAACAAAATAAAATCACCAATACGGATTAGTCAGTAAATAACAACTCACTCACGAATTTTAAAGACCTGGTGAAGCTATGTATAGCTAAATAACAAACACATGGATCAGAACACAAGATTGAAAATGATGAGGCGTGTTCCGTGTTTGTGGTAAATTTCCAATTCCTTTAACAGATATCTGGACTTTTTCCAACCTCTGCATCGCTTGTTTTCGCTTTTTTCTGTAATGGGATTTTGGTGGATTAAGGTACCTCCAGGACTTCAGTTATGATAAGTACTTTAACTCAGCTTCATAGTCCATAATCCCGTCTGTACGTGTCTTCAAAGTTTTTTTTAATAGAATCTTAATCACGTGAAAGAATTCTGGCAACCGTAGGAAAGTATTGTTAGGGCGCGCTTTCCTCCCATGGTCCTTTCAAATTTAGTGATCACTCAGTTTGGTGAGTCAGTCAATCCAAGTGGAGTTGCTTTTCCTGCTATTGAATATGGTGATTAAAATCCTAAACGGTGATTTCTTTTTCTTTGAAAGCAATTTATTTAGGTAAATGATTGTTTGTTAAGTTCGCTAAACCAAGGCTCTTTGTCTTGAATATCGGTACTGAAAAACATTTCTCTTTAACATGCCAACACTTTCCATTGTGTTAAGGTTCAAAAGGGGCATCTTTTTCGCCGTATTTTGATCATATATATCAACGAATTGCGCGCAAAGAGTCGAAAATCAGTCATCACCGAGCCCTCCAGGGGAGCTTTTGTTTCGTTAACTATCCGTTGTCCCATTCCGACCTTTAAAACAAGTGTCCCAATTTAATGCTGTTAGAATTGTTTTTAGTGATACCGAGTGTTGAAAGTAATCTTTTCACGGGCTTTTAACAGACCTTAAGGAATCGAGACAGTGTGCCTAACAAAAAGGCATGCAATCTCACAATTGTTTCAGTGACTATTTTCACCAACGAAAATTAATCCCCAGAGCAGAATTAAAAATAGATCTAAAGACCAGAATGGTTGGACAGAGAGATGTTGTCAGAAGTGCGGCGTTTCGTGTTTGTAGATTTAATAACATGCAGCAAAATCATATCTTGGTCTTAAAATTTGTTTCTATTGGTATAGGTCTTATAAAAAAAAAATTGTTAGTAATGCAACGGAAGATCAGAAATTCATTCAACGCTTTTCTCTCCAGCAGGTTCACAGCAAGGGGTTTTCGTTAATCATGAAAGCAATTTAGAGCTCATTACCTTTCTGTTCAGCTGTAAAGTGGGTGTCAAATTAGTAATTTCAATACGAGGAAATCATTTTAATGGATAACAAGGTATTGGAAATCAGTTCACCTAAGTTACTTAAATCATTCGAGTATTGGAATTCACACTTTTAATTAACTCTCTGTTTCACTCAAGACTTTTCATTAAGACTTTGAGTCTTTAGATAACTTATCAAATCCACTCTTGTTTTGATAAGTCTTTAAGACATTTTGATAAGCCCACGCTTTAAGACT